GAGCTGCAGAGGCCAGGGAAGGGAGAGTTGTGGTGGTTTGCACCAGGACAAGCTTGGCCAAGAGTCTGGAGGGCAGGGGCTGCTCACCTGCTCCCAGCTGGGCAGCTCAGGGCTGTTTGAGAGGCATGGGAATTTGCAGGGTTCTCAGGGATATGCTGGTGTCTCTTTAAAAGGAAAGCAAGCCCAGTTTGGTGGTGGTTTTTTGTTTGTTTTTTTGGTTTTTCAAAGGTGCTCAGCATGTAGTGACCCTCCCACTAACTGGCTTCTTTTTTGCTGTGAGCTATCCACCAAGAGTTGTTTTCAAGGGTTCTTTGCTTTTAATAAGAATCACTAATTAATCCTAATTTTTAAAAAAATAGCACCTGCCACTCCTCATGCCAGGCCTCCCATTGCACTGCCCTGCAGCCCCAGCCCCAGCCCCAGATAAGCATTGTGCAAACTGCACTGATAACGTGGCCTCCCTCCCTCCCATCCCTTATAAACTTCAGCAAGATATCACCAGCATTCAGAACTCATCAGGATCACTGCTGTCCTGCTTTCCATGGTGGCTGGTGGGGAGAGAAATGAGTCTCACTGCTCTTGTGGTCACCAGCTCCTTCCTCCATCAGTATCCCAGGTCCACCATGGTGGAAAGTTTTGAAGCTCCTGGCCATGAGGAACAGGAAATGAGTCTTGTAAAAAAGGGGCTCTTCCCTTAAAGAAAGAAACAAATGCTCTCTGATAATTTCTAGGAAAAGCTTTTAGTAAGTGCTTAGCAGCCAAAACTGATAACCAGGAGTGAGCCTGCCCTTTGTGCTTGACTGCTTGCATTCTGACTTCTATGACTTCATACTGACTTCTTGCATCCTTTCCAAAGCTTGATCTATGCAAGATTAAAAAAAACATGGTCTTTTGTTTCTTTTCCCCACTCACCAGCTTTCTTACACACATTGAGTGGTATTTTCCACCACAGCAAGAGTGACAGGAAGAAAACTTGCAAAAAAAATCACATTATTATTTACTCTAGCTTTGTGTCCCTCTCATGGTCTTGTTTTTGTAACTTGTGGATTTCTATGAAGTGGAAACAGTCTGACTGACATGCTGCAACAATTTTATCATTAAATATTGCCAGAGATTGCTCAATCCCTTATATCATCATTAAACAGCTGACTTCTAAACACAGAGGCTCCTTTAAATGAGTATAGTTGTATTTTGGGGGTAGATATGTGTATTTGAAAGAAAAAGCACTGGGAGGCATTCCTGTTTTCCATGAGAACTATCTGAAGAGACAGGGTACTCTTGACTGGAGCAGAAATGCAGATCAGAGCAGAGTCTGCTTTCTTGGCTCTCCAGGGGCTGCAGCAAACCAGCTGGGAACAGGAACCCCTGTTCTGTCAACACTTCAGAATCTCCTACGAACCCTCCAGTCACTGCTGACCAGTCACTACACCTGACCAGTGACTGCTCCACTTCAATATTTCCTTTTTTCTTAACCCTGGGCTTGCATAGAGCTTGGCAAGGGGTTTGGAGACAGCCCTGAGCTTGCCTGGACATGGGGAGGTGGGAGTCAGGCATGCAGACAAACTGAGAGCAGCTAAACTCAAGCAAGGGCTGTGATTGCTGATGGCAGCTTTACTCAAGAACATGGTCTGGGATTTCTTCAGTTTGTCCTGGGCAATATCCTTTACTAAATGTCCCACTCACATGCTGGCAATTACACATCATGGTTTAGGAAGGGATTATTTCAAAGGTAAGCTGGACAGCAGAACATTCTGGAGGAATTTCTCAGTTTAACTCATGTTCTAAACTTGTAATGAATCTTTGGGAAAAACTGCCTTTGATGCATTGCTCTTGGATGTGCTCGTGACCAGATGCATTAATTTTCTTCCATTCAATTTCTGCCAACAAATCTCACTGTTGTTGCTCAGCAGGTGATAATGATGCTCAAATGTTGTGTGTCTTGTGAGGTCTGGTCTGCTGAACTGATGCAAATGATCACTTTCTCTTCTCATACCGAATTCCCACTGGATGGGATTCATCTCACCAGCTTTGCCTGTCCAGAAGGAGATTAGAATTAGGATTGCCTCCTCAGCTCCCTGCTGAGACACAGACACTGCTGAAAGGGGTCTTGTTTCACCTTTCCTGCCCACCCACATGATGATGTGATCTGGGGGCATCTCTCCCTCCACTGACTGGACAGGCAGCATGGACAACTCATCTGAACAGGACACAGAAGTTTTAGACCATTGGAAGTCACCAGTGATGCATCTCAGGAGATTGGTTTTTACTTCAGTGACATACAGGCTGTGTGAAGTCTGCATCAGATAAAAACCCTGTAAATGAAATTTGCATTTCAGTGAAATATTTTTGCCCACAAAAGCCAAAAATGTCTGCCTAAGACATATAGATGTGAGTAATTCTAAGGAAAGCCGTGAAAATGTAGGTCCAGAAGAAAGTAAAGACATAAACCCACAAAGTTGGCTGAGGCTTTTCAATTATTTGAGTGTGTGGTAATATACATAAATTCAGACAAAATTCAGTTGAAGACATATTTCTAATTTTTCTCTAAAGAGCCAACTCCTTTCATCTCTCTGAACATACAGAGGGCTCTGTCCCTGTATGCTGCCCATGGGAACAGGTTGCCCAGAGAAGATGTGGCTGCCCCATCCCTGGAAGTGTTCAAGGCCTGGTTGGATTTGGCTTAAAGCAACTTGGGTTCCCTCCTTCCTCCTGGCCTCAGTAATCCAAGGAATAATCTGGGGAGCATTCTGGAGGTCAGAGCTCAAGGGCTTGGCAGTTCTGTAAGGACGGAAGGATGCCCAGAGGGGATCCTGCCATGGTGTGCCTTGCTCCCTGTGCTCCCACCATATCCCCTGATTTGGGAAACACAAAGAGGATATTCCCAACACACTTTAGGGATGGCATTCACCCCTCACCCCCTCACCTGGGGCCCAAATGGTCTGTCAGACCCCCGAATCCCTCTCATTTTCTGTGCAAGCACAGTTACCACAGCTCCTCTATCAATAACAAATAAATAACTTGCTTTGTTGTTCCAGTGAGTGCTTTGGGATTTGAACTTTTTCTGTGTCTCTCCTCTCATTTTTCCTCTTATCCTGCACATCAGGTGATGCATTCTCCATCAGGTCACTGCTGCCAGTTGGATAAATACAGGTTAGCAGGTCTCTGGAACTGGAACTGGCTGAGGAGAGATTTTTTTTCTCTGCCCGGACAAATCTCACAGAATTCTTGAAGAAAAAATCTTGGTAGTGCTTTATGACTTGTTTGCTTTCCCTCAAACAAAAAGACAGATTTGGTACAATGGGAATAAATGAGGGGTTAGGTCTCTCTCTCGTGGTTTTTCCCTCTATGGCTTGAGGAGTGATTGATCTCTTTTTGACACCTGATTTTAGAAAATCCTTCATGCCTGAGAGCCAAGGCTGGACCATGGGGCCTTTTCATGCTGGAGCTATCTAAGGTGGAACCTAAGCTCTTGTCTGTCTTCTTAGCAGTCTTTACTTTGGTTTTGGGTGTTTTTCTGCTCAAGCTTTTGCTTCTCATGAAGGAAAGCCTCTGTAACAGGATCTTCTGGTTCCTACAATTCCTCCAAGGATTTTCCAAGACCCCACGGTGCCTGGATGCCAGGTGATTCCCAGCTGAATATCACTCAGTGATAGAAAAGCCTCAGTGCTTTTCTCAGCTCAGCTCCTCTGGCCTGCAACGATCTGGTTTCTCCCAAAGAAGAGGGCAGGATCTCAGCCACCCTTGGTTTCTTTAGTCCCTGACAATGTGAGAGGATGATTCAGCCCCTCATATCTGAAGTGTCTTTTGGAAGTGCCCTCTCCTCTTTTTCTTTTGTTCTCTGCTGACTGCAAAAGGTGCTGAGATGCACAAGACTCCCAGCACTGGTGCTTCTGATGCTCAGAAGCTCCTGGAACACAACCCCTGCATCCCTGGATGGGATGGAAGTGGGGTTTCAGCTGTGGTCACAGGCTGTGAGCCCTGCTGTGGAGCTGGGCAGCCTGGCTGCCCTTTCAGTGCCCAGCCACCTCAGCTCTCTGGCAGAGCCCGCGGCTCCGGCGGCGGGCACGCTGCCCATTGCCCGGCAGCCCAGGGTGCCAGCTGACCCCTTAAAGGAGGCTTTAAGTGGAACAGAAATGAAAAACAGCTGTAACCAGAAATGCATGTTAAGCAGGATCTGTGCTGTGACACCATGAGATAAATGGATCTCCCACACCACTCCTAAATCAAAACAAGGACACTCTCAAGAGCTGCTTTGGGACTGATGTTACAGTTGGAGACCAAGCTTATTTTTCTTTCTTTTGCAAAAGTATTTTTTGTTGAAAGTTTTTGTTTTGTCAGACAAAAATTGATGCTCTGCATCATTTGTTAGTCCTACTTCCCTGCCAGTCCTGCCATGATCCCTGTGCCAGGGGCGTCAGGCCCCTCTCAAGTGGCAGAGGCACTTTGTCGTGTGTTACAAAAAACTTTCCCCTTCTTCAACCTGAATCTGACCATTTTTCCTTGCTTGGAAGAAAGCTGTTTCATTTATTTGGAAGAAATACTGAATTTCTGCTTCAAGGAGAGGCAGAAAAGAAGCAAATTAATGAAACCCAGGGTCAGGTTATGAAGACCCATGGAGCAGCTCTCTTTCACAAGCGTCTTTGAGATGCCCACCAGGGTGTCCTGCTCAGCCTGCTTGATTCCACAGGGGACATGCCAGCACCCCTGGGCATCCTGTGCCTCACAGCCTGCTGCCTGGCATCATCCCTCCAGGACATCTGGCACCGATTCCAACCAGACTGTCATTTCCAGGTCAGTCTCCGCATTTCTGCTGACCATGTTGCCTCCATCATGAGATCATGTCTTTCCAGAGGAATCCTGCTAATGCCTTCATTCTGCCAGGCCGGTATATATAGGGGGAGCTTCCCTGGGGCTGCACTCCAGCCAAGGCATCGCCGTCTCCCCAGCAGCGGTGCTGCCCCTTCTGCTCTCCCCTTGCAGCCACAGGTCTCAGCAGCAGCAGCAGCATGGACATTACCATCCAGCACCCCTGGTTCAAGCGTGCTCTGGGACCCTTCATTCCAAGCCGTTTGTTTGACCAGTTTTTTGGAGAGGGTCTCCTGGAGTATGACCTCCTGCCTTTGTTCTCGTCCACTATCAGCCCCTACTACAGGCAGTCCCTCTTCCGCAGCGTGCTGGAGTCGGGCATTTCAGAGGTAAGGGCCCTTTCATTTCCTCTCCTTTCCTTCCTCTCCCTCCTTACGCCTCCAGCTGCTCCTCTCCACCCACATCTCACACTGCTCTAGCCCCATGTGAGGGGACGAGGAAGACCCCAAAGCCACTGCCAGGCACAGCCACCCACCCCTTCTTGGGCACAAAGGGAAGTCCTCACGGGGGACAAAGCTTCCCTTTGAGAAACAGGAACCATTCTGCCTCCTTTTGAGGGTTGTTTCCAACACAAGAAGGCTGGTTTGGTTGCTCTGTGCCCACCACCTGTGTAGCAAAGAAGAGCAAGGCTGCTCCAGAGTAAGTGCCTGTGAGGGCAGCTTGCCATGGGAGTGCAAGTGGGAGCTTTCTCCACCTCCTCCTCCACCTTGGGAGCTTGGTGGTTTTTGCAATCCCTCACTGAAGGACCCCTGAGCAATTTTCTGACGGGAACTGTAGGGGAATGTGTAGTTGTGGGGGCCATGAGCCGAAATTCAGGTCCAGGTGCTTTCTATAGCCCTCTCTTACTGCTTTCCTCCCAGAGCTACGACCACAAGGAAACCATAAATCACTGAAAGGACAAAACATGTGCTACCAGAGAGTCCTACACTGGTTTCCATCCCCTTTCTCTGCCTGGTCCATCTGGCAGGTCACTGAGTGCTAAAGGGTCCCTGGCACAAGAATAGCAGCAAGGAGTAACACCTCTCCCCAGAGCAGTAGCCAAGGTGCAGACACCAGCCATGGCCTCCTGGTGACACCTCCCACAGCCTCCCAGTGACACTGTCACCTCCCACGGCCTCTCAATGTCCCTGAGTCCCCACAGTGAAAAGAAGACCCCCACTGAGGTTCACAGTCACAGAAGGAGAAAGCGCCAGACCAGCCCTTTTTTGGCCTTTGATCTGTGGTGATGTTGGCAGTGCCCCACACCCGGAGCTGGGCCCTCACTGTGTGACAATGCTCGTTTCAGGTGAGGTCTGATCGGGACAAGTTCACAATCATGCTGGATGTAAAACACTTCTCTCCCGAAGACTTGAGTGTGAAGATTATTGATGACTTTGTGGAAATCCATGGCAAGCACAGTGAAAGGCAGGTAAGTGGAGGTGACGGTGATGGTGGAGCAGCTGGGGAGTCCAGCTCTGTTTTCCTTCTTTCCAACGGTTCTCAGCTGAAGGAAAAAAAAAAGAATATATCAGAAGAAGGAGTTAATTATGAATTGTCATTATTGGCATGGGCTGTTTCCATAGAGCCCCCACCTGATATCTGACAATAACAAGCTAATCCACCCCTCTTTTGTTTATTTTCAATCATCATCTTCCATAACCATCAGATGACCATGTCCATTGTTCACTAATAACACTGGGCCAGACACAGAACATCATCTGGCACTGCTGAAGCATGGCTGAGTTTTCATAAGCCAGAATCCTTAGTGAAAACAGAGTTTTTATATGCCAATCTGGGAGAGAAAAGCAAGAGCAAACAAAACAAAAGAAAACCAACCAAGTGCCTCAGGCTTGGAAACTTTTAACATGGATGTCATGGAAATATCTGTGGGGGTCGAAAAGTGAATTATACCAGCAGGGGTTTAATTCTTCTCATACACATTTTTGGCCAGACAAGGCTCTAGCCTGGAAACAGTATGTATTTTTAAATGTAGTTATTATTCTCATGGCCAATTAAAAAAAAAAAATTGCACTTCTCATTCTTTGGACCAAAAAAAGAAGGGGGTCAAGACTGTGTACTTCGGCTGACTCAGCATTGCAGCCTGGTAAATAAATACATGGGTGCACACGTCTGCCTTGCCTTTACCTTCCCAGGCCCCCAGACTTTGTCTCCAAGCACTGTATCCTTTGAAATCAGAAGCCCAAATCAGATTCCAGCCTGGCATAAAACTATGGCCAAAATCATTCCCTGCTGCCGTGCTCAGCTCTCGCAGCTTCACAGTTGTTGGGGGGACACCTGCCCCGACAAACCTGTGAAATTAAACCCAGCAGAGGTGTGCCCAGCGGCCTGGCAGTGCAGTGTCACACTCAGCCAGGGTGATTGTGGATCTCCTGCCCTGAGGGAGCTGGACAAAGGGAGTTTCTGACACGCCTTCCCCCCTTTCCCCACTGCCTCTCAGGATGACCACGGCTACATCTCCCGGGAATTCCACCGCCGGTACCGCCTGCCCGCCAACGTGGACCAGGCTGCCATCACCTGCTCGCTGTCCAACGATGGCATGCTGACCTTCTCGGGCCCCAAGGTCCCCTCCAACATGGACGCCAGCCACAGTGAGAGGCCCATCCCTGTGTCCCGCGAGGAGAAGCCCACCTCCGCGCCCTCCTCCTGAGCCCGCCGGCCGCCGCGCTGGGCAGGCTGCCACCACCCGCGGGCCTCGCTCCCAGAGCCTTTGCGTAGATATCAGTGAATATCTAGAGGGGTTTCTTCTTCTGTTGGTTCCTCCCCCACTTTGTTTCCTCCTTTTTTTTGTTTTCCTATTTTTTGTTTTCCCCCTCTTCCCTTGGGTGGAACGAGGGGCTGGGTGAGCAGCTGGTGGACTTGGAAGCTTAAACCTCGTGGGGATGGCAGGGATGGCAGTGCTGCCATGCTGCTGTACTTGCTGAAAGGGTCTTCGTCCGGTGCTGCAGCCCCTATCCACCATCAGGTAGGAAGGAGTGCACGAGTAACGCTGGCTGCTGGTGCACCAAGCCTCGAGGCAAGGCTTGGGACAGGGGAAAAGCCCTGCAGAATTGCTGTACCCCACTCAGGGTTAAACTGGTTACTCTCAAACAGCAACAGAGCCAAGCCCCACACTCAAGACCCCGCGTCCATGTGGCGAACCTGCCATGAGTTCCTTGCAACTGCAGGAGAAATAATAACAATAATAATAACTACCAATAACATCTCACCTTCGGGGGGTTGCAATGTGTATTTTTTTTTTCAGCAAAGTGTTTAAGTGTCTCTGTTCACACCTCTGCCCTGTCATTTCCCTTTGGGACAACTGACAGGAGGACAAGCACGTCTTTCCACTGTCTCTGTAGGCCCTCGGGGGGGAGAGAGGGGGGCTCACCACTGTGCAGAGGCTTCCCATCCCCAGCCAGCTCTCCCCAGCCTGTGTGTGACACACTGTCTTCCTTGCTCTCTCCTGTAACTCTAGGGTAGCTCCACCTCTCCCGCTGGTATCTGGCGCTCAACCTGAGAACGTGGTCAGTGGCGGTCAATAAAGTGAGATAGGAAACACGCATCCAGCCTTGAGGGTTTCATTTCTTCTTTTTTAAGGCTCTTGAAAGTTACTGTGGTGCCCAGCACCACTTGGAGGATGTGCTTTCCACCGCTGGAAGTACGTTTTGTGAGGATGGCTTGCTTTTCCTTTTGTGTTCCCGTTATCCCTCGTGCAAGCAAAACCAAAAGGATCAGAGAAAAAACAAAACTCAGCAGCTTGACCACCACGGCATTCCTGCAGACCATTGGGTCAGTACCAACATCCACTTCAAACCTCATGCCCGTGGCACCACGTGACAGATTTAATCTGAAATTAATGATTAAGGTTGTTTGATGGCAGGGTGGGTGGGGTGGAGGTACGAGCTCTCCCTGCAGTTGCCACACATGAAATCCACAGCTCCAGTGTACGTGAACACCCAAGAGTAAAGGTTTCAGCACTCATGCTCTGCTCAAAAAGCTTTCCACACAGATGGATATCCAGGGTGTTCAGGAAAGGCCCCCCACATCCCCATAATTTACCACATAGGTATAATAATCTCAGACAGTTTTTACCAACCTCCTCCTCTTTAATGCTGATTAGCTGTGAAAAACAGAGGAAATAAATGCAGTTGTTTGTTGGTTGGGTTTTTTTTCCCCCTCATGGCGTGGGCTTAGATATTAATATGAGCCATAAACACAGAAGCTCTGAGACTATTTAAATTTAAAAGCCACTTGCTTCTGCCATATCTAGGCCAAAACTCAGGGAGGGCTGGGAGTTGAGGAGCAGAGGCATCTCCTCTTATCCAGACAAAATGAGCGTGCGCCAGGTCTCATCCCAGTGCCTGCCTGCATCCCCTGAGGGATCATTACTGGGACCAGCATCACGGCACTTGTGGCAGAGGTTGGGAGTGGGACAAGGCTGCAGGAGGGGGAAAGTGCTGCAGATGCAGGAGAAAGCAAAGGAGGGAGATTATGTCTGGTAATTAGAAAGCAATAAATCCCCTCAGTGTCTGACACTCTTTTAAACCAATTTTTTACTGAGATTAATTACTGGGCAATCTCAGAGCTTTCTACCACAAATTGTGCAGCAGTTGTGTTTGCATCTCCGGGGAAAGGCATGAATGAGTGCACTTTGGGAAAGGGCAATTTCTTTCCAGGAGGGAGCTGTAGCTGCAGGCATGGAAAGGGCATTTTAACTGAAGCTGCCTCGTTTCTTTGCCTGGTGCTAACAGGTCCCCAGCCTCTGCTGCTTTCCCTTCAGATGCATCTTTTGCCAGAGCCTTGGTTCCTCCCTGCCATGTGCTGACATCTCTCCCCTTCCTGACAGAAACCCAGCAAAACCAGGAGGAAAAAAAAAATCTAATCCCAGACATTTGACCCCCATTCAAACCTCTCAGAGGTGTCAAAATAGGGAAACAGTTTGTGAGCATGATCTGTGTGCAAATGTTACCTGCAGGTGCCTGAGCAGCCTGTGTGTCTGTCAGGGCCATCAAATGACACCTGAGCCATTTGTGGGCCCCTTTTTATGCCTGGCTGGCAGAAAGTGAGGGTTTTGGTGGGAAATGATGACAGGAAATCAGGGCAGGTTTGAGACAAGCCAGGAGCCACACAGAGGGGGCAGCAGCTCAGGACCCATGCTGCCCCTCACTTTTGGGGACACCAGACCATGACTGCCTTCCTGCTCTGAGAAGGGATGATTTTAAAGCCTTTTGCAATCCATAAGCTAATTAAACCCATAAGCAGCTCTGAAAGCCTCTGTGCAAGGACATTGGGGTGTCTGGTGGTGTTTTGTGTGGGACAGGGAATGTGTCACCAAACCCAGAGCCCCTCTGACCCCCAAAAGGCTCATCCACTTGCACAACAGCTTGAGCACTGCCACTAATGCCTGTGTATCACTCAAAATATTTCAAATTTTTCACCTAGAAGTCTTCTCAGTCATATCTATCCAGGATACTTCTCTTCTCTGCAAAAATTCTTGTTTCCCTTTGCTGAGATTGTAATTTAAAGAAATTCTTGTTATTCATAACCTATGGTGGTTTCAGGAAGGAGCTCTTCACCACAACCTTCTTTGTAAATTCACCTAATAATAATGTGTTGATAACATTCTTTAAGGATTAATAAAATTTCTTGGAGGTTTTTTGGTTGTGAATTAGTTGATAGTTTTATGATGGAGGGAAAGGCAGCAAAGGACCCTTCCCACAGGGAACTTTCAAAGTGTCTGGGCAGTTTGTAAAGTGTGGCCTTTAACCAGAGCCATCTGCTCAGGGTGACTATTCATCCTTTTTGCAGTGTGTTTTTGTTACCTATTGGTTTGTACCCAGACTGGTAATCTTGCTTGCCTACAGCAAAGCAGAAATTACTTTAGCTTCTCCTCCAGAGGAGTTATCAGAGGGCTCCAGGAGGATGCAGCAGATGGTGCTCCAGGGACATGCAGCTTCCTCCAAGTAATTCCCCTCCTTCCCACAGGCCCCAGTGACTCAGGAGGGTGGCAGTGACGTGGGGGACAGCAGCAGCTTCTGGTGCTGCCCCCTCCCCTCCTTGGCACTGTCCTGTTTGGGCAGGGTACCTCTGCCAGGGTCCTGCTTCCTCCAAGAAAAACCCAGGAGCACAAACTGGCAGGATCCAACCTGCAGGCCACCAGCCAGGAAGCTGTCCCTGAGCATTTGGACCAGAGCCCCTGACTTGTCACCCTTCTTGGCAGGGGGATAAGGAAGTTTCTCCTCATCCTGCTCACCCAGAGCTCACCCAGCTCTCTCTGCAAGGGAGCGGGGCAGTTCAGGGATGCTGCATCCTCCCCACGCTGATCCTTTAGCTCTGGAATGTTGTCCCCTGGCTCCTGGCAGAAGGACAGCCCTGGAGACCGGGAGGGATTGCCTGGCAAAGCCGTGTCCCCACGGGGTGGCAGCCTTGCCTGTGCTCTGGCACTCCCAAGGGCTCTCTTCTCACCAGATTTCAGCACCTCCCAGGGAGATGGGACCCAGGGCACAAGGCAAGCAGGCACAAGGACCCAACCAGAGTTGCACAACTCTGGCATTTCTTGGTTTCTGATTGATTTACAAGCTAGCCAGTGCTACATAAAAACTGGGAGTAGCCTGAAAGTTTACCAGCATTTTTTCAGCCAAAGCAAATTCTGCTGCATGCAATCTCTGCAACCCCTCATCTCCTTGGCATCATCATCAGGATTTGGGCTCTGCCACACAGGTCTCTAAATCTGGAATTAAAATAGCAGTATCTGCAGGGCTCCAAACACATTAAAAAAACCCCAGTATTCTCTCAAAAGAACACTGGGCACATCTCTGCAGTTTATTGCAGTGCTGGGCACATAAATCTGGGAGATGCAGCCAGAGGAGACTGTAATGATGGGGGGGCTGCCCCCTAACTTGGACTTTGTCCCTCTGGTGTAACCTCCAGTCAGGACAGGCTTGGAAAGGCACCAGCTCACACCAGGGGAGCAGGTGCCTGCTGTGTCCCTCATTCCCAGCTCCTGACCTGGCTGAGGGGCTTTTCCCAGGAGAAATGCAGTCAGGACCCATCCAGAGCCCACAGAGCAGGGCCGGAGCCTGCTCACATGGCTGGTGCTTCACTTGCAATTAACTGGCCCTTTTAATGAAAAATGTCCACTTGGGACAGGCACAGATGTCCGTGGCATTTCTGAGAGAGCAGCACAAGTGGAATAAAAATGAAATCCCAGTCCGAGAGGCTGAGGCAGGATGACGGAGTGACGCAAGCCGACCAAAGCTCAGGAGACGTGTCTGTGCCTCGGAGTTCATCCTCCAGCTGACTTGCCGAGATCTACCACACATCAGGAGGGGCCTGAACTCCTCTGAGAGAGAAAATTGTCTGTCTGCTCGGGGAAGGCGAGACCCTGCTGCCCCGGGGTGTGGGCAGAGCTGATCCACAAGGCCCTGGAGCCCCCCTGAAGCGCTCCTTGCTCCCAGGGTGGGCTGTGGTGTCTCACTGGAGCAGTTTTGGGGGGCTGAGGTCACTCTGCAAGGGTCCAGAGGTGGGGAGGCTCTGCATGGGGTGGGTTCAGCACACGAGGGGCTCATGGACAGCGTGGCATTGCCTGGTGTGTCCCAGCTCAGCTGGCAGTCAGGAGAAAGGCAATTTCCATGATTTGCTTGTGGTGCTTTCTCTGTTAAAACTTCA